CTCTTAAAAAAAAATTGTATACCTCTCTGAATTGATTTAGAATGCTTGTAACAGTACATAAATTATAAAAACAAAAAATTGCTGGGAGGGAGGAGGGGGTTAAATGTTAGGACGCCCAAAAGTCATTTCAGAACATTAACATAATTTCCATACAAAATTAAAACCCTTTAACTTTATTTGAAAAGACTGTAGAGATGTCTAAAACTTTAAAAATCGTGAGAACAAATAAGGTTTAATTATATTTAATAATATATTTTTTTTTATTGTTTATAAAAAATGTACCTTCAAATATAATTACAATAATTTTTATTGTAAATAAGTTTTCTCAGAATAGTTCCTTGTTGTTGAAATGGAAATTTAAAAAAATTATAAGAGTTTAAATTTTAAACAAAAAATATCCTGACCTGCTTAAAACACACAACCTTTATTACATGTTCAATAATTAATGTTTATTTATTATTGTTTAAAGTTTGAAATAATGGACTAATTGACTAAGAAAAAAAAATTAAACTCCTCAAATTTGAATTTTTTGATTTGGCATTAATGCCACTGGTTATAGTAGGATGACTATCGAAAATCAACAATTTATCTCAAAATTTAGGGCGAATATATATTTTAAAATATTTTTGAAATATCATACCAACTAAGTCTTGTTGTTTACTTATTGTTTTAAAAGTCTTATAAAATAAGTGAATAACAATTTGTAAGCCATAAATTATAGTTAATAATTTAGTGAATTTTAAATTGGTAGACATTTCAACGTTCAAAATGGGAGTTGTATCCTGTTATCAAGAAAGCCATGGGCAATCATATGTTTTATATTTGGCTGTTATCTCAATGGGTCGTAACGCTAAACATCAAGATTAGTTTCGACAAGCAGGTTGTCAATTATGAAACGTTATCAAAATATAGAAGATAAGATATCTATGATTATGAATGGATTTGATTTGAGTCCATTATTTTCTTCATAAGTCCATGTTATTATTATTTGTTAATATTGGGAGGTATTATTTATATTCCTTATAACTTTATATTTCTGATACGTTATTGGTTTATCACTATAAATTTACAAGCTTTTCCAGTCGATAAAAAAAATCAGGTGCGCGCAACACACAACTTTCACTTAGCGCTCAACTTTGAATAGAAATTATTTTCTGGCCATGTTGGCTAATTATAAAATTTTTAAATGCATTTTTAACTGAGCTAAAAGATTGCAGCTAACAAATCATAAATACTATTAAAATAACAAAAGTCCTATTTATTATATCACCGGTTGATTATGGATGGTACGATTCGTTGATTATGGATTATACGATCCGTTGATTATGGATTATAGGACTATTAGTTATTAAACTGTTATTTTCTATTGCCAAATGCATTGTCGAAAATTGTCACACTGATTGCAGGTGGATTCTGTTGGAATATCGCAAAGGGAAAATTTATCAAATTATTCACTAATTTTATTTTCTCAAAGGTTACATAATGATTTTTCGGAAGAAACGGAAGATAGATGCCTAATGATTTAAATATAATGTCAAGTCTAGAGTTATTAAACTGCAGTAAATATATTTAAGGTTATAAAAGTATCCATGAAATATTTTTATATTTCACTTCTTCTTTCACACAAGAACAATGAAATAGTATCTTAAACAGTGTCATTGCCTGGAATCCGTGGGTTTTAAATAATTTTTCAAACTTAAAAAAAAATTAAAAAGTTTACATTTAGTAAAAAAATTTCATTTAATTTCCTTGAAAACATGTTATTATTTAAGTTGTTTTCTTCAATCTTCGTTTCCTTCTACAACTTTCTATATTAGATATTATGTTTTCTAAAATTGTCTTTCCAACGATATATAATACGTATACCTTCTGACCAGTATTTCCGGAGATTCATTTTCGACCTGGATAAGCATTTTTATTTTTACTTCCTTTATTCAATTATAAAATTCTTTCAAAAGATATATTTAACATTATTTCGTAACTTTTAATAATGAAAGATAGTTAACTATTTGAAATGAACCATACTAAAGGTACTTTAGAGGAAGACGTATATGAACATTGGGCATTTAAGCCCTGTAAAGTGACATCAATGGGGATAAGACCTAATTGATATTAAAGACGACTTAATTATACAATGATACACCGAGTTTAATCAATCTCTTTAGAGCCGTTTTTGAGAAAATTGTAAAAATGTGTTTCAGCGTTGACGTAAAGTGACACATCCGCTTAGCCGATTTTAAGGAAAAGGTTGCAGCGAAATCTAAGGCATATGCCTATCTTAAATATGTAATAATATCAGTTTCGTAGGATTTTTCGTTTTTGAGCTAGAGTGTTCACATACACACAGACCATTTTTCGGGATTTGATTATTTGGACGCAGGGTACCCCAAAACGTGTATTCCGTTAAAAACTCAGATTCAAAAATTTTGTCGATCGCAATACTTACTCTTACTACATATTACATATATAAGTAAGTTAAAGTAAAAATTGTGTAGTTTATTTTCACAATTATATACAAGAAACTGAAACAGATGCTAATGTTGTCACCTGCTCAGAAAATTTAATCAACCTTGGGGAATACCAGACATTTATTGACTTTATTAAATGTTAATTAGAACTGTCAAATTTATTTATTTAAATGTAATATATTGTTTTTTTTTTGTTTGTTTTTTTTCACTATGTCAGAAGTGTGTCATATGGAAATCCCAGCTCTATCACTATGTTATATAAGTTTATATAATGTGCGAAATATATGAATGTTTTTTAAAAAGTTTGGTAAATCGTGTTCATTAATGAACCTTTCTAACCAAACATGAAAAATCTGGTGCGGTTCGCGCATCACACAAATTTCACTTACCACCTCTTCTTAGCAGAAATAAGTATTTTCAGACAAAGCGAAGTGAAAGTAATACCTAAAATAATACCTACAATAGTATTTATGAAAACCACATATGTATCTTTATATAATATTGTCGGAGACCGTATTATATTAATCTCATGATACGTATGGAAGCGTATTCTAATCTTTCGGGCGAGCTTGAGTGCGCTCGTATTCCTTTGGTTCCTCAATTACAACTATTCTCCGTTACGATCTATTATTTCTCCTTTAGTTATTAATAAAATTCTTTCATATTTTATATTTAACCATTTCTCATACTAGTAATTAATGTAAAATGGTCAATTGTTTCAAATAAAAAAAATTTAAACGTACATTAGAGGAAGCTAATATTGAAAATTAGCCATTTAAGCCCTGTTAGAGAACATCAATCAGAATAATAACCACATTTTATTTAAAACTGCTTAATTTTACACTGACATGATGAATTTAATCAAAACTGTTAGAGCGGTTTTCGAGATAATCGTTAACATGTGTTTAGTCCATTATATAAAATGACACTTTCGGTCAGCTGATTTTGACGAAAAATTTGCTGTAACATCCCTAGCATATAAAAACCTTAAATATGCAATTTCACATCCGTACGACTTTTCGTTTTTTAGCTAGACTGTTAACACACATACATACAGACATACGCACGGACCATTATGCGGGACTAGGTTATTTGGACTCAGAAGACCACAAAACGTGTATTTCCGATGAAAACTCTGATTCAAAAATTATCACGATCGCAGTACTTACACTTACTATATATTACATATATTCGTAATTGAAAGTAAAAAGAAGTTTGAACTTTTCCCCACGTAGATTCAAGAGATTGAAACATTTATGGACCTTTTTAAGAAAGTTCTAGTTTAACAGTTTCTGTGATACTTTTTAGAAAAAAAAAAAGTTAAAATAAATGTTTAAATGAACTTTATTGTTATAGGCCTAGAGCGAAATTTAATTTTTATCTATTTAAGTTCTTCGAAAAAAGTTACGTTAATTGAGAATTGGGTTTATTTAGAGTTATAATCTATTTTATATGAATGTCTTGGTTCTAATATTTCATTTTTTGAGCAGAAGTTTCATTTATTTATTTCTTTTGTTTTGCAAATTTCTGTTAAACATTTTGTTTAAATGAAAAGAAAACCATAACATAAGTAAATATAGCTATAACAAAGTTTGTAATTACTGATTTCAATGTGATAATATTTTATTTTTTTCGCTAAGATTATCAAACTGATAAAAGCACCTGACCTTTGAAGTAATAACTTATAAAATGAGTTTCGTCAAAAGGGTCAAAAATTTAATAAATTGGTCTCAACAGCAATTAAGTTGCATGTTTATTATTATCTTTTTATTTATTTTTTATTATTATTTTAGTTTTCACTATCATCTGTGAAATCAAAGTTATCAAGTTTCTAGACAATAAAAGAATCAAAAAACATATATGACAAGAAATAATGATCCTTTGCAGATTTGTTATTATTTTTTATTTTTATTTATTTATTTTATTTCATTTTATTTTATTTTATTTTAAAAGTTCATTTGTCTATTAATTTCAATTCATTTATTGATTTTATTGCTATTTTTTATTTATATGTTCTATCTTATTATCTATAAGTATCTATTGTTATTTTTATTGATTTATTTTATTCTATCAATCCTTTTATTTAGTTATTTTTATCCTTTTTTTTTATTTATATTTTTTGTACCAATCATCCAAACAGTATAAAAGTAGTGTAATTGATCGGACGCTAATGACCTGGATGTTAGTTTTGATGTCTAGACGCATAGACATCAAAACAAACAAGCTAACAATCATAGACATAGTACAGTCAACCTTGCTTCCAGGTGTGAAGTTGTGATGACAGCAATATTTAGCTTGTACTTTCAATTTTACAACTTGTATTTTGTACTTTATTATAAAACAGGCCCCAGATTTGATTTTTGTTTTTTTAATTATCGATTTCAAACCCTGGTTTTACACTCTCGGCCATTTATGAAGATTTGAAATAGTAATTACCAATGAGCAAATGCTCCTTTCATTTCAGAAATCTTTCTTTCCTTTTTAGATACACTCCGATGTCACTGCCATTTCTTCCGGAACAGCAGAAGCGTCCTATTTCCTGTATAATGATCGTTTAGCGGTGTAAGCCATTTCTTTAACAGTCGGTGCCTTCTCTCGGTTCTTAACCTCGGGTCGGCGACTGCTTATTGTTGTATTTAGGGGACGCCTTTCTCCCAAAAAGTCGAGGATTCGGGTCATCGAGGAAGTGAAGAAAAAACTTCTTGATGTTTTTCCACCGGAATCGAAAGCGAAACTGGAGATTGGCATGGTGGGTAACGGTGGAAAATATAATTTTTAAAAATATATATATCAGTAAATAACTTAGCCATTTTTATTTTAAATAGTTTTCCAATCAATATATATCACTGCCATGCGAGCAGAAATTAATTACACAGTGGTGAGGCTACAACAGGGATGGGATATCTAGGACTCAATATTGGTATTGTTATAGAAATAAATATCTATTATAACTATCGATACCATCCACTAGCGGATCCAGGACTTAATTTTGGGGGAGGGGCTTCAGCTCGAAAGATTTTTTTTTATATACATATAACGATAATTAATTTGAAAAAAAGGAAAGAAATTAACTACTTATATGAAATATTGTTTAAATGGTTCTTGAAGTCTTATTAAATATTATTACACGAACAAGAATACTTTAAGAGATAGTATTTAATATTTTTTTCTGTAAAACATGGTTATATTTTTCCATTTTGGGGGGAAGTTTCAGCCCGAAAGCCCCCTCCCCACCTGTAGATCCACCTGTGATACCATCAAAGTATTGGACTTGAAATATAGAAAGTCGATCGTTATTACAAACATTTTTGAAATGTGAAAATAAGCATAAATATTTATTCTCTAACACATAGGTGCATAAAAAAAAATGTTATTTTCGCCTTTAAATTAATTAATGGAAATATCAATTCTTCTACTCTACTTAATAAAATTAATTTTCTAGTTCCTGTCCATCTTCGTCATCTTCATCTTTTTTTTTTCCAGAAATTTCCTTTCAACTAATTATGCCTTCCATTCATCTATAGATCGGATTAGGCGAAATACTAATTATCATCGTATATAGATTTTTTTGACGATTCGAGGCCTTGATTTGAGAAGGTTTTAACTCTACTTAGGAATGACTATCGATAGTCTATATTATCGAAATATCGATATTTTCCTTTTCTAAGAAATTACAGTAAAAAGTTGATAAAGTTTCAAGAAAAAAGTGTGAACCTCCAGCACAAACCAAACAATTTTACAAAACTTACAAATCGAGCTTGATTCCATAAAATGGCTAGATTTTCAAATTTAACTATTCAATAATACCAGACTGAAACGATAAGAAACCCTCGAAGTTTCCGAATAGTTCAGCTACTTACTAGACAAACGCTCTAAACTTCAAATTAATTACAATGGGGCTCCACTAAACCATCGAATTCCTCTCGTAATCATTACAATCCAAAATCCTTCGTAAAATCCTCAATGCTCCCTACTTTGTTACAAATAAAACCATCCATAATGACCTTAATGTTTCTTATGTTTCAGATCTGGCTCAATCCCTATACCTATCCTTCCATAATAAACTTCAGAATCATCCCAACCCTCTCGTTTCTAACCTTGCTTCCACTTCAATTGTTGATAACCCTCCGTCTGAAAAGAAGATGGCTCCGTGATCTCCTAATGTAGACAAATCATTAGAGTGCTACCATTGGGTAGTTACTCAGCAAGTGTTTTCACGTCATTATATCCATATGTTCAAATTTACTAGATGTATTTCTTTAATACAGTTGAAAATATCATTAAGAAATAATTTAAAAAAAAAAAAAAAAAAAAAGCTATTCAATAAAAACAGTGTAAAATATGTATTCTTCCAATTGAAAATATTCTCAAGAATTCCATAAGATATCAATAAAAAGCTTATATAGCTTTAGCAGTTGTAAAAAAAATAATATTTTTACCTGATGTCGCGAGTTTTCCCTTACTCGTCACTGTTGCCCAAATGCGAAACCGAGATGAGTCTTGGTCTTGCACACTAGCGAATCCAGGATTTAATTTTGGGGGGACTTCAGCCTGAAAGCTTTTTTTTTTCATAAAAATGTTGATAATTATTTTGGAAAAAAAAAAGAAACAAACTATCTATATGAAATGGTGTTTAAGTGATTCCTTAAGTCCTGTTAAATGTAATTACACGAACAATAATACTTTAAAAGATAATTTTTAAATACATTTTTCCTTATAACATGGTTATATTTTACCATTTTGAGAAGCCCCAATTCTTAGACTTTTCTTAAATAAAATATTTGTAGGTTACGATGAGATGAAGCTATATACGAAGTTTCAGCCGGTTGTTTTTTTATATAATAATTTAGTACAAAGAGGCCTGCAACACGGACTAATAGTTTTAACAATGACAAATTCTACTTTCATTTGAAGTAAATTTTATCTAGCTTATATAGAAACAATTGTTAATTATATAAAACAGTATTTTTTTAGTTAACGCTTCCTATTAAAAAAAAAATATATGACTTACTTAAAAAATATATATAAGACTTAAATTTCCTACTTTTCTACCGAAAATCGGAACATTGCTTACATAAACGTATTGGTAGCTTTTGAAGCCTAGTATCACTTTTATAAATATTCCCCTCCACTTACGGAACATTTAGTATAAGTGCCTGAAAAAAAAAAACAATAACAGATGACACATTATATATTACTCAGGCTTTGTATGAGACACTTAGGTACATTTCTTTATTTCCTTATTCTTTTGACGATAATGAATGTAAAAAAAAAAAAATCGGTGATTCAGCCTCTGTTTGGTATAGTTGGTAATTTGACCTTCCTTTTTTTTAACTTTCTTCCCTGATTCATCTCCTGTTTCCTCAAGAGAATCGATTTCCTTTCCCCTCTTATGCTATCGATTATGCAAAATGTGTGGCTTCTTCAAGACTGTCCCCACTGTGTCTTCTTTTCCTATTTCATTTAACTGAATTCATTTTGTTGGAGTAAAAAAACTCGCAGTCATTGTTCATTTAGAAAATTTATTTTATTTTTATTTTTCAGTAATTAATATTTTTTTTTTTTATGAATGGGCCAAGATCATATGATCATGTTATAAATGGGATTCCAAGAATATCCGAGGACTGACAACGTGTTCACAAAATGACGTCCCTTTATCAAGATAGCGATTTATGACTTCCACAAACTTAATTGTTTTCAGTTTTTTTTTTTTGTGTCTCCTCTCGTTTTATGCTATACGAGGTTTCCCGGCCAGAGAGTAAGGGCTACGGATTAATTTCCGAACTAAAAGTCCCGCTTCCTTCTCCGGGCACCGAGACGCGAACTCGTAATTATTTTATCTTATTATCTTTGATGCGGGTTCCAGAGCAACGCGCAGTGCTGTGCACACGCGTTAGTTCGTTCGGCCAATTCGCTATTTTTTTTTTTTTTTTTCTTCCCTTCCTGGCTTTAAAAGCTATGCGGAGTTTTCCCGGGCCAAGAGGTTAGGGCGAGGGGTTAAAGCCAGAGTCAAAGGCCACACCGGCACCGTGACGCGAACTCGTAATTATTTTATCGTATATAATAAATATTCGGTTATCGGGCAACGTGCGGTGCTTTCCACCCCGCCCCTTCGTTCTTTTCAGTTGAAAGCTCTCTATCAGGTGATTCGGTCACTTTCGTTTACTTTTGGAAATACTCCGCCATTCAAGGAATTCCATTTATGGTGTGATCATGGGAAGTGTGGTGATCATGGATAAGTGAAGTGACATTCGTACAATAGTAACAAATAAATAAATAAATTTACTATCTCTAAGAGCTTTGACTTGTGAAGCTGAATTAACCATTTATTCATCTGCGACGTAGAAGATAACTCATATTTCCGACACGAGGCGCGATAGCGAATGTAGGCGATTGCATCCTCCTATCTCTTGGTAAGCATGACCTGAATGACTTCATAATTGTATCATTTTCTGGGTAACTCTATCTGCAATGTATCGGTCAGGAAGGAACTTGTTTTATCTGCTGCCATAAGCGCTAAGGCTATTTGATAATAACTGTTCCAAGAAGCAGTTCTCGAGTCGGGGGGAGGTAATGAGATCATTGCCTCCTACCAAAGGGATGATTTACGAATTCGATCTTAATTGGTCATGCAATGATTTTGTTTACTGAATGAATGTTTGTTGAATGAAGTCATCCTCCTCACTCCTCCCACTTTGACTTAAGTCATCTCCAATAAAGGACTATCTTTAATCATATGAGAGCAGTTAAGATATGGTCATCCTCTAGACCTTTGGGTTATCAACAGAAATAAACAACATGATAAATTCATGTCATCAATGTAGTCCTATTTTTGTGGAGAGTGAATCAGAATAAGCCGTCAGATTTCTGATGTGTAACGCTCGGGTAAAGTTGGCTGGAGTCGACTAATTTAAGTGTGTTCGCATATATATATATATATATATATATATATATATATATATATGCAAACACACATATATATATAACACACACATATATATATATATTCACATAAATACTGTCTTATATATACACATTGAGAGCAGTGTAATAACGAAAATTGCGAAAAGTAAGTTTTTCTGTATAGTTTCGAAGTTTAATCATTAAGTTATATTTGCCATTCCAGCCTTTGAGATAAGATAGTAAAATAATGTATATTCTTAAAGAAAATTTAATATTAAACAACTTTCTTCCTCATGAATTTTTCATAAAATAAAAAGATAAAGAGTTGACGAGTGAAATAATGATAAAAATGCGATGCAAAGATTTTTTTTTTCAAAATTAGCAAATTACGAGGACGGATATCACAGAAATTAGAGAATAAAATATAAAACTAATATAACTATTTCTATAGCAAATTTTGTCAGCTTTAATTTCACATATCACATTAATATAGATAGAACGCATAGTTTCACTGATATAGGCGAAAAAAACCGAAAGAAGTGAACTTGAAATCCAGGGGTATGTGGTAACTGATTATTATTTCATGTCTTAACACTGTAAATACTATAACTTGAAATGATTGGTAGCTTTATATATCTATAAACCCTCTCTCTACATATACGCTTACAAACTATGTAGGGTCTCTATCTATCTTCACATGGCCGCCATTTTCTATTCCAGCAGCAGACGTGCATTTTTCTCATCAGGCCTGTAGATATGATAAATTTATAAGGACAAAGCTTAGTATGAAATGTGACACCTTTCGTGCTCCCGGACTATTTCCAGCCAGCGTTTAAGAATAGAAC